TCGAACCTTCATGTATCCGTTCTATAGTTTTTACCGCCTGTGCTGTACAAAGACTGCCAGCTTAAGTGAATAAAGAGTTTGATGCTGCTGCTTGTCTAAAGTTCAACACTGTGGTTATACTGGCGAACTCCGGTGCACAACACCACGTGTCTGCGGCATCGGGAACGCGACAGTGATGCTCTGCCTGTAACTTCAAATCCTGACCCTGATTCAGAAAAAATGATTTAGAACTCGATCCTTACTTGTTTTCTAGCCTGACTTCAAAGACTCACCTTATTTTCTTCTTACTCTTCAGAATGTTCCCTGTGAATGACTTTTATCACAAGGAAGCATCAATAAGCATCCTTTACTTTCATGTGTGATATCTCATCCTGAAGTGCAATCATGAAGTATACGCCAGCGTACTTCACATAAAGCTTTCGTAGTCCAAGTACGTGACTTTTATTCTTTATTATTGTTTGTGTCATACAAGTGAATTCCTAAGATTGGCCAAAGCCAATCTTGTGATATGAATAAATTATGGCGGAAGGTTGTGCTCTCGTGACTACAGCTTTCTTGGCGATATTCTTGGCCTCTTTGGGCAATTTGCCTCCGCACAATGGCCTCTTTTATTACCATCGTGCACAATCAGGAAAGATCGTTTCTTGGCCACGAGTATTTTTCAGTGCAAATGTAGACGTTGGTGCTACCGCTGTCGTTACACGTGTTAACTTTCGAAAAATTTAGGAGCCTCCAGCGTTCAAAGTTCCTCTCGAGGCGTTTTAAAAACTATTCAAATGCCTCCTGAGCTTTTAACCCAGCTGTTTTCAAGATCCTACACAGTGGTGATGTTGAAATAAATCCCCGTTACGCACCTAAAGGCACGACACGACCTCGAAGACAGAATCACACTTCGAAGTTTAAGGTATTCTACACAAACGCCAGGAGCATTGTCAACAAAGTTACCAAATTACAATTGCAACTGGCTAATAGTCAAGCGGTTATCGTTGTTCTAACTGAGACGCATTTAGACTGTTCGATTTCAAGTGAGGAAGTTATTGGTAGCGATTAAACTGTCTACCGGAAAGACCGCGCCGGCAATGGAGCTAGACATGGCGGTGGTGTTTTGATCGCGACGAAGAAAGACATAATCACCTCAATACGAGAACACCAAGATCTACCTTCTGAGTTACTATTTGTTGATATAATCACGGACGGAGGGAAGAAATTAACGATTGGAACATTTTACAGGCCGCCAAATAGTGACTTGAAGCCTCTGGAAGACCTTCGGTCATACCTTTCTTCGATTACAACCACAGATCTTCTCATTACTGGAGATTTTAACCTAAGCGAGTTTGATTGGTCTACGAACCATCCTACTAAATCATCTGAGCATCACTACCTCCTGTCTGAAATAGTTCAAGACCATTTCTTGTATCAAATGGTTGACGAGCCTACTCGTG